ATGATTGTGTTGCCTAGAGGCAACCGCTCAGAACAAGGGCAGGGGTGGGGGACGGGGGGCCTGGGAGACGGGCCGCTACGGCTGCTGAGAGGGGGGTCTAGAGGCAACCGCTCAAAAATTCGACGAATTCGTATTTTTTTTTTTTGGTTTTTGATTGTGGGGCCTAGAGGCAACCGCTCAGAACAAGGCCAGGGGCGGGGGATGCGGGGCCTGGGAGACGGGTGGCGAGGGCTGCTGAGAGGGGAGCCTAGAGGCAACCGCTCAAAAATTCGACTGCCGTTTGAATCCGTAAAAAAATCATTTTTTGGTTTTTGATTGTGGGGCCTAGAGGCAACCGCGCAGAACAAGGGCAGGGGTGGGGGATGGGGGGCCTGGGAGACGGGCCGCTAGGGCTGCTGAGAGGGGGGCCTAGAGGCAACCGCTCAAAAATTCAATTGCGGCAATGTTTGGACAGATTTGAATCGTGAGGAGGGAAGGGGCGGGTGGCGGATGGGAGGGCGGGGGGGAGGGGTAGAGCCTTGTCCAGGAAACATGGATGGGTACGAACGTGAAGAGGTCGCGGTTTGAAGCCTGTATGGGAAACATGGATGGGTCGAGCCGGTGGAGCACATCCCAGCAGGTTGCACGAAGGGGAGGGACGGGAAGATGTCTAAGAGGGGCCTAAACGGATGCATCGGAACCGGTGGCGAGCTTGCATCGGAACCGGTGGCCTTCGGAACCGCTGGGAGGCCTGGGCTTCACTGTGCGCTCGCCCCGTCAGGCCGGGGTCGGCGGAATTAGGGGTTATACGGGGATCATGAAAAAGAACATGGAAACTATTATATTACAATAGGGTACATATTTGGGTTAGTCGGTATATCCTAGATTTTCTGGAGTTTGTCAAACTTGATGACTTGCAAGCAAATGTTCCAGGGAATTCGCAAGGATACCTATTTTTTCTGTCCGCACGCAGCATCGAATGGGGAAGATCGCGTTAGTAGACATAGTTTCAGGTAACCATGGAAGTTTTACAAATCTTGCCAAGTTTTTTTTGCAAATGCTGTGGCCGGCTGTTGTTTTTGCCCTGCACCACTTGGGGAGAACCTCGAACCCACATTAGTAGTTTCCATTTTCTTTTCCATTATCCCTACAAACCAACCCTAAACCCTAGAACCTTAATTAACCTATATGTAGTTTCCATTTTCTTTTCCATTATCCCTACAACCCAACCCTAAACCCTTATATGTAGTTTCCAGTTTCTTTTCCATTATCCATATATAACCCCCTCCTTTTGAAGCCAGTTGCTGTCTTCTGGCCTTCGCTCCGAGGCTCGGCTTGCGGGAAGAGGGGCAAAGTCCGGACGGCGAGTGGGACGTTGCGGCCTTTGTCATCTTGCTTACTTGTGGTTAGCAGGGAATATGGGAATGTAATCTATATATATATACATTTATTCAATCCTTATGCAATAAATTCCCTTAGTCCATACTAACCAATGGTAAGATTAGCTGATTTTGAAGGAGCACAATTCAGACGTCGTATTCGCCACAGCCTGTTACACATGTCATGAGCCGTGGCTTCGGATTCTGAACTATCGGGGTTATAGATCCCCATCTACCCCTTTAAAGGGGACCTAGGGCTCCCATTTCCTTTTGCATTTTCTTCTCCATTTGATTCTCCACTATAGGGGGATAACATCCTTAAACCCTAAACCCTATTCAGTTCCTTAGCAGCAACCCAGTAATTGCATGTTGGAAAAGCACTGGGACATTCCTGGGAATGCTTTTCAGTTGTTATGGGCCAGTATCTCAACCCTAAGCCCCGAACCCTAAAACCCTAAACCCTGTACAACCCATAAGAGTTAGATTCTTATATGGACCCACTGAATCTATCCCAGGTCAGTTTCAGGACAAACGTTCCCGTGCAGGCTGGCTGGCATAAAGCTTCGCAGAATAATGACTATAGGGATTTGTAACCCCAATACTTGAGAATTACATGGACCAGCAAGTTTAAAATGATATATCATGAGGCTATGTTGGGATTACAGAATGATCTATGGGGATCCACCCCCAATTTTTTGAGAATCAAATGGAAAAGCAACTGGAACATGAAATTGAAATGGGGATTATATAGTCTATTCCAAAAGGTTGGTTTGGATGGTGAGGCCATGCTTAAGGGATCGAGCTGCGCATCTGCTTGTATCGTCCAATTGAATTCTCTCACACCGTTTTTTTCTGCGGAGGAGTTGGTAGTTTCCAAAGTTGGAGACCCTAAACTAGACCCTAAAATACGATAATCCCTATTACAGGGACCCCTAATAAGATACCCCTCCCTAGTTTTGGGAAACCCCCATCTGTTTCCATTTGATTTTTCCATACAACCCCAATGTATTACATGAGTTTCCATTTTCTTTTGCCATTAACCCCCAATATACCATACTAGTTAGCCGTAAGACCCTAAACCCTAAACCCTAAATTAACCCCAATATACCATAGTAGTTACCCGCAAGCCAGGATATGCACACCCTGTTGTCACAAGCCGACGTCGGCGCCGGCCTTAGGTGTAAACAAGCAGAGCAGCTGAATACGCATACAGGGTTTACTAGTGGTTAGTCCGCAGGGCATACGAGACTATGATCCTCATACAATCCCCATATAAATTATTCCCTTATTCCCTAGTAACCCCCAGTAGGTTGGATGAGGTCTCCACACCATGCGGGACGAACACTTTGGAATCTCTGTGGTGGAGTTCATGGCGGCTGGCGCGCTGGTTGCAGCCTTAATTGGTTGCATGCAGAGAAGCTGTGAGCTGGAGAGAGAATAATGGAGAATCAAATGGAAAAGAATGGAAAATGAAATGGAAAATGAAATGGAAACTGGGATTATACAGGGGATTATAGGGGTTATCGTCTAAACTCCTAGTATCCTATAAGTCACGGGGCGGTGCCTTGGAGGTCCGTCAGATACTTCTTGTAGGTCATAGGGGGCTAAGATGGGAACAACCTAGGCACACAGGTGGTAGGTATATATGCACTAGAAAACCCTGGGCTTAGGACACAGACATGGCCTACTAGACTAGGGGTCTACTGTGAGCACCAGAAAAATTCAAAACAAAGCGCCGCGACAAATGTAGACTCTCAATCCTCTAAACCCATCTAAACCCTGAACCCCAAATCCTAATTCCGAAACCCTAAATCCCAAACCCTAAACCCTACTTGGCACAACCAAGCCGCTACCTCACCCAGGAAAGCAACGGAGTTCTTGCTCTTCTCTGCGATGGCCTGGTACCGTGCCCCTACCTAGACCCTCCTGGTACCCTTAAAAGGGGTTAGGGTTGAACCATCCTGGAACCTTTAGACTATAAGCCGGTGTAGGGCTTAGGGATTAGGATTTTGGTTTAGGGTTTAGGAATTAGGGTTTAGGGAAACTGCACCCTCCTTGTACCCTTAAAGAGGGTCCGTAATGGTGTGGGCATTTAAGGTATAAAAGACGGTTGAAGGATCGTCTAGGTACATGGTGCCAAAAAATATGATCGGCACGGCAAAGGCAAACAAAAACCTCATGTTGAAAGCCCCTGGCCCTGCAAAGGGAAGATGGAACAAGGGCATCAACGCCAGTATTGGGTCCAACAAATGCATTGTTGAAACAATGCATTGTTGAAACAAGTACTCCCTGTCAGTTATTGGAGTGCCTTAACAATCACAACTGTTCAGTAGCATGACCCAGCCAAACACTCAACGCTTCAGAACCGAAGTTGAGCAAAGGAGCAGCTCTGAGAAGCTGAGGAGTTTCTCGACACAATCATAGGAAGTTTTCCAAGAATTGGGGATCCCTGTTTGGGGTGCCTGGAAAAGGGGTTAGAGTATGAGGGGTATGTAAGGGGCACTCCTCTTCCTGGAAACTCCCATATACTTCCGAAGAAGGAAGCATGTACTCTCCCCCATAATGTTGGACCTCCTTTAG